GCCGCCACGAGCCCGCTTGGCATCAACCACGCGCTTGGCTTGAGCTACTTGATTCGCGCATACCAGAGCCGCGGTCACGAGATGGCCAACTTGGACCCGCTTGGCCTGCAGGAGCGCCCGGTGCTCCCGGAGCTCGACATCAAGATGTACGGCTTTACGGACGCGGACCTTGACAAGACGATCGACATCCCGAAGAACTTTGCGTCGGGTGTCACGGGCTTCTTGGAAGAGCTCACGGAGGGCCAGAACCCGACGCTCGGCCAGATCGTGCAGCGCCTCAAGGAAACGTACTGCAGTTCGATCGGCGTGGTATGCATATCCCTCTCTATCTGCAACTTGAAGTCAAGCGTTGTATGTAGCAATACATGCACATCCCGGACCGCGAAAAGTGCAACTGGATTCGCACGCACGTCGAGCACCTTGTGAAGAAGGAAGAGTCCAAGGAGAAGAAGATGCACATCCTCGAGCGTCTCGCCTTCTCGGTCAACTTTGAAAAGTTCCTTGGCAACAAGTACAACACGACCAAGCGCTTTGGTCTCGACGGTGGCGAGTCGCTCATCCCGGGCCTCAAGTACATGATTGACCGTGCGACCGAAATGGTTTGTATCAACTTGATACTTTTCACGGATCACTCATCTATGGGGTGTAGGGCATGGAACACGTCGTCGTCGGCATGCCCCATCGTGGCCGCCTCAACGTGCTCGCCAACGTGATTCGCAAGCCGATCCAGCAGATCTTCAAGGAGTTCCAGGGCACGCATTTTGACTTGGACAAGTACGTCAACGACGTGGACGACTGGAGCAACTCGGGCGACGTCAAGTACCATCTCGGCACGTCGTTTGACCGCACGTACCCGGACGGCCGCAAGGTGCACTTGAGCCTCGTCGCCAACCCGTCGCACCTCGAGGCGGTCAACCCCGTCGTCGAAGGCAAGGTCCGCGCCAAGCAGTACTACCTCGGCAACGACGACGACGCCGAGAAGAAGGTGATGCCGCTCCTCCTCCACGGTGACGCGGCCTTTAGCGGCCAAGGCGTGGTCTACGAGACCATGCATCTCTCGGAGCTCGAAAACTACGACACGGGTGGTACCGTCCACGTCGTGGTCAACAACCAGATTGGGTTCACGACCGACCCGAAGAACTCGCGCTCGTCGCAGTACTGCTCGGACGTCGGCAAGGCCATGAACGTGCCGATCTTCCACGTCAACGGCGACGACCCGGTCGCCGTCGTCAAGGTCTTTGAGCTCGCGGCCGAGTGGCGCCAGACATGGCGCTCGGACGTCATCATCAACCTCACGTGCTACCGCAAGTTTGGCCACAACGAGATCGACAACCCGTTCTTTACGCAGCCGCTCATGTACAAGAAGATCGGCTCGATGCCCAACGTGCTCGACACGTACGCGCAGCAGCTCGTGGCCTCGGGCGTCGCGACCATGGCCGAGACGGACGCGGTCATCTCCAAGGTGTGGGACTTTTTCGGCCGCACGTTTGAGGAAAGCAAGAACTGGGAAGACTCGAAGAAGTCGGACTGGCTCGCGAACCGCTGGGAGTCGTTCAAGAGCCCGACGCAGCAGTCGCGCATCCGCCCGACCGGCGTCGAGATCGACACGCTCAAGAAGATTGGCGACAAGCTCACGACGGTCCCGGACGGCTTTGAGCTCAACTCGCAGCTCAAGCGTATCATTTCGACCAAGCGGGCGTCGATCGAAACCGGCGAGGGCCTCGACTGGAGCTCGGGCGAGGCGCTTGCTTGGGGCTCGCTCCTCCTCGAGGGCAACCACGTGCGCATTTCGGGCCAGGACGTTGAGCGTGGTACGTTCTCCCACCGCCACGCGGTCCTCCACGACCAAAAGACCAACAACGAGCACGTCCCGCTCAACACGCTCGCGCCGACGCTAACCCGTCGGCGCCGCTGGTCAACACGGGCGGCAACACGCAGGCGCCGTTTGTGGCCAGTAACTCGTCGCTCTCGGAGTTTGGCGTCCTCGGCTTTGAGCTCGGCTACTCGCTCGAGAACCCGAACGCACTCGTCATGTGGGAAGCCCAGTTTGGCGACTTTGCCAACGGCGCGCAGATCATCATTGATCAGTTTTTGAGCGCGGGCGAAGACAAGTGGATGCGCCAGTCGGGCCTTGTGATGCTCTTGCCGCACGGCTACGAGGGCCAGGGCGCCGAGCACTCGTCGTGCCGCATCGAGCGCTTCCTCCAGCAGACGGACGACGACCCGAACGTCGTGCCGCCGATGGACGAAGACCACCGCATGCAGATCCAGCAGACCAACTGGCAGATCGTGTACTGCTCGACGCCGGCCCAGTACTTCCACGTGCTCCGCCGCCAGCTGCACCGTGAGTTCCGCAAGCCGCTCATCTCGGTCCAGCCCAAGTCGCTGCTGCGGTTGAAGCAGGCATCGTCGTCGCTCGCCGAGATGGGCCCGGGCACCAAGTTCCACCGCGTCCTCGGCGACGACGCGTCGCTTGTCGCGAACGACAAGGTCAAGCGCGTGCTCTTCTGCTCGGGCAAGATCTACTACGACCTTGCCGCCGAGCGCGAGGCCAACAAGATTGACGACATTGCGATCGTCCGCGTCGAGCAGATCGCGCCCTTCCCGTTCGACAAGGTCGCCGAGTACTCGGCCAAGTACCCGAACGCCGAAGTCAAGTGGGTCCAGGAAGAGCCCGAAAACATGGGCTTCTGGACGTATGTGAGCCCGCGCTTCGAGACGGCGGTATGTCTTTTTATCCATCAAGTTGATACTCATCGCGTTTGGTGTCTCTAGCTCAAGACGATCAACCAGGACACGCGCCGTCCGTCGTACATTGGCCGTGTCGCGTCGGCTGCCCCGCCACGGGTTACCACGCCGTCCACAACCTCGAGCAGACGCGCATTATCGGCAAGGCGCTCGGCTTGCAGACCAAGTAAAGGTGGTGCACGATGTAGAATACATCCAACAAACACACTGCACCAATACAAAACACTCTTTTACATGCCAACAGACAATAGTGTCCATTGTCATTTGCATACATTTCGACGCGCCGTGCTGTCCAGTCGGGACAACGCGACGACAACAACAGGAAGACGAAGCGACCTCACGCGGCGTGGAGGTGGTGGAGCCACGTGTACACTTGGTTCGCGGTCGGCCGCGCGGTCTGGTCGTAGGCCAAGCACTTTGTCGCGATCGCCAAGAGCGACGGCGGACACGACGGCGAGAACGTCGGGCGCAAGTCGCCGGCGACGACCAGCATCGCGATGCGCGCCTTGGTCATTTGCACATTGCCGCCGGCCTCGGGCACGAGGAGGGAAAAGTCGGCGTACGGGACGCGGTGCGTATCGAGCTCCGAGAGGAGGACGCCGAGCGAGTACATGTCGGCTTTCTCACTGTAGCGCACGCCCTTGAGCACTTCGGGCGCGATCCACGGGATCGTGCCAATCTCGGACGTCATCGTGTTGTCGTCCTCGTCGTAGAGCCGGCTCGAGCCAAAGTCGCCGAGCTTGGCGACGAAGTTGGTTCCAATAAGCACGTTCTTGGCCTTGAGGTCGCGGTGGACGACCGTCGGGTCGCACGCGTGGAGGTAGCGCAGGCCCTTGACGACGTCGAGCAGCAGCGACGCCTTGGTTACATCGCTATCGACATTGGCGCGCTTGGCGTCCGCGGCGGTCCACGCCAAGTGCGGGCGAGATTGTAAGAGTCCCCAGAGGTCGCCGTGCTCCATGTACTCGGTCAAGAGTCCAATGTTGTGCAAATGCGTCCACGTGACACCGAGAAAGCCCACCACGTGCGGGTGTTCGAGCTGGCTCATGAGCCGGATCTCGTCCATAAAGGCCTCGACGGCGGCCGTGTCGTCCGCGCGCTCGGGGCGAAGCCGCTTCATCGCGACCTTGGTCTCACGCCCGCGCAGCACCATGGTGGCCACGTACACGACGCCGTACCCGCCCTTGGCGACCACCTCCTTGTACAAGATCGACTGCGCGGGGACGATGGCGCCGTGGAACCGCGGGTCAAAGCGCACGTCGTTGGCGACGGCGGCCGCGCGATCCAAGATCGCAGCTTCCAGATCGCTGCTGCGGTCGGTCGTGCTAATGAGCCATTTCGACGTCCGGGTGTGGCGCCGCTTGTAGAAGACGCCGAGGGCCACGAGCAGCAGCAAGGCAAAGAGCAGGCCGGCGACGATGCTAATGATGCTCGTGGCGTCGCCCGTCGAAGAAGACACCGGCGGCAGCGGATGCACCGTGTCGGGCACGATACAAATGGGAAATGTGCCCCAGAGCAGCTCGGTGCGCACGTGGCCGACGCACGTCGCGTTGGTGTTGGTTGTGCTCAGAAAGATGTCGCACGGACCGGTGCCGGTGAAGCGCCCCGCGGCGTCGACGTGGTTGATGTACGTGAGGTTGGTCGAGTTGTTGGCGAGGTTGGCGAGGATCTGGAACTGCGACGCATTGGCGTAAAACGCTGTAATGTTGTTGCGGGCGAGACAGCTAAATGTATGTATGTGAGGGTTTGCCTTTCCATACAGTGTACTACGTACAGTGTTTGGAGCGCGGCTGGAAAGTTGGCGCGGATTTCAGTGATACCATTGTCCACGAGCTCCCTAGCATTGCAAACATATGATTCGTACTCAGGTAGACGCAGCGCGAGGCATACAAATAGCCGAGCGACGACGGAAACGTGACGTTGTCGAGGCTCACGAGACCGTTGGACGACAGATTCCTAGCGGTCGTTTCAGACATGTTTTCTAGCAGACAATATGTGCATAATACAGGTGCAAGAGGAGCGGCGGCCACGTGACGTCATGGATGCGCGAAATGCGGTTGCCGCCAGCGTCACTAGTTTGAGAGAAGGAGCATGAGCGAGGAATATAGTGTCGTTAGAGTTCGTACATAGTCACCATCATGAGCGGGAAGGCGACATCGCGGAGCGTCTCGAGCTGGTTGTACGAAATAAAGCTATCAGCGTGATGAGTGCACGCAAAAGACTTGGGCGGAAAGCGTACAGGCCCTCGAGGTTCGAAGGCAAGCTGTCGGTTCCATCGAGCGTGCGAATCTGGTTGCGGTCCAGGACCCTACCCAGCCACGTCACATCTCCATCAATCGTCGATGATACACATTACAAGGCCGCGAGGTTCTTGGCGTTGACGTTGCCCAGTTTCGAGATCGAGTTGTTTTGGAGGCTCCTACATCCAAATGAGCTGCATGTCCACGCCAAACAGCGTTTTTTCATACAGTGTTTTGAGCGTCGGTGGAAACGCAATGTTGTCGATGGAGCGAATCGAGTTGTTGCCCATTTGCCTAGCATTTTCAAAAATAATGAGCGCAGATATGGACACTGCGTCGCGTACAAGGTCGATGCCGAGATGACGTCGCCGGCAAAATCCAGCGCGAGACTCGGGTTGAGCGTTTGAATGCCGAGGTCGTCGAGCACACTAGACATGTGAGACACGATAGTACCTCCAACCAAAACGACGGCGCCTACATGGTGGCGACGGTGCTGGGGAGACTCTCGATGTGGTCGACACGGTTGTTGTCCGAAAAGTTGACATCGAGGCCGTTCATGATCGTCATCAAGCCCGCGACCGTCGAGTTCATGCCGTTGCGCCGCTTCTCCATTGAGGCGCGCGAAACGCGGCCGAGCGGGTGCCAAATGCATGTCGGCGACAAGAGCGGCGCCCACGTCGACGGGTAGGTGAAGTTGACATTGCCGCAGTCGGTGGTGAACGTGCGCTGGGTGACCGTGCGCGGAAGGCGGTTGCCGAGGACGCCCCAGATCGTCACGGCGGCGTCGACAGCAACCGCAAGCAGCAAGCTCCAGGCGACTGCGTGGCGGTGCATCTGCGTCGAATGGTCGAATGCAGCATCGCTCGACGGTTCGAACGCGGCGTGTAGATCATCAATGGGTTGATGGCGCCAGCTGGGCCCGCGGCAATGAGAGGAGAGTGTGTCACATTTTCTTTGCATACTATATGTTGTATGGACAGCGGGTAGGGTTAGAGGAGAGTGACCTGGCCACCGCCTGTCGGGCCACTCGGTCCAGAGCTGTCAGGACCCGAGCCACACATTACATCATCGGTGCCACGCATAGAGCAGCGCCCATCTCGGTGCTCGAGGAGGGTCGCAGGACCACGCGAGGGTTCGCACCCACGAGTACCATGGTTGGCGTGCGCGACAAGTCCGCCACTGTCTGTTCTTTGTCCGTCCAGGCGCATCCAGATTGTGAGTTGGCACTGCAGCAATCCGCACCATTTCGCATCATGGACATCTCTATCTCTGGCTACCCATCGAACGGAGCGGGCAACTCAGATCAGGCGCGCGTTCCGATTACGCCACGTGCGATGTCGTTATTCACACTGCATATCCTGCTGCAACGTTGCGAGATGGCAAGTCGCCGCATCGACGCGCCGTGCACAGGTGGTGCATGTAAAATATACACGCTCGTCGGGCATCAAGAAAGGCAACCGAGAATCTCGTCCGCAATCTGAAGTAAGCAGCGACGCTTCACCTTCTCACAGTACTCTGTGAGCGTGCCCATGATATGCCGTGGGGCCTGCACAGTACCAGTACAGCTTTGTGCATTGACCAGAATCGTGCGAGATTGCACTAGTGGAAACAGAAAACGCAATGTCATGACGTGGCAAGCTGCCGTGCACGACCGTTTCATTTAGAGAAGATACTCGGGCGATGGCACGGTCATCGGCGCCTTGCGGATGAAGTCGATCCACTTGTACACATCTTTGGCACTCGGGCGGTCCCGCGGGTCGTACGCGAGGCAGCGGTCGGCCATCGAGCGCACGGCCGGCGGGCAGTCGTCTCGGAACTCGAGCGTGGCGTTGCCGGCCATGACGTGCACCGCGATGCGCGTCCGCGACGCCCGCAGTTGATTGGTCTCGTTGGCGAACGGCGCTTTGCCCGTGTCCATGGTCGCGATGAGTACACCGAGTGCGTAAATATCAGCCTTTTCCGTGTACCGGAGGCCTTTGAGCACTTCGGGGGCACTCCAGGCGACGACCGCTTCGTCATCTGTGCTCGTCACGTCCTCTGCATGGTGGGTCGCGCGTGTCGATCCGAACGCACCGAGCTTGGCTTCGAAGCTCTCGCTCACAAAGACGTGCTCGGCCTTGAGATCCATATGAAACACAATGGGGTCGCACGAGTGGAGGTAGCGCAGGCCGTCGACGACGTCGTGCAAGAGCGAGAGCTTTGTGGCGCCGCTCATGTCGTCGAGCCATGCGTGCATCGGTGGCTCCTGGAGAAGCGACCAGAGGTCCCCTCGCTCCATGTACTCGGTGATGAGCGCGAGCTGTTTCACCGTGCGCCACGTCACGCCGACGAAGCGCACGATCTTGGGATGGTGCAGCTGGGCGTGGAGACGGACGGTCTCAAGGAAAATGCCAACCGCGTCCGGATCGTCCGACTTGTCAGGCGGCAAAGACGTGAGCGTGACCATCTCGGCGTCGTCCGCGCCGGCGGCTTGGTACAGTGCGCGGTGCACCAAGCTCAGTTCGCGTCGATAGAGCAAATGCCCCCGCGTGAGCGCCGATTGCGGCACAAAATGGTCCTGGAACTCGGTCTCCAAGTGCAAACTCGCACGTTCGAGCGGCGTCGGTGTCTTCGCCGACGAGTACCACGACCGAACGTCCATCTCGATCGGCGTCGACTGGCTCATTCGAACGCGCTTCCGACGTCGACACGTGTAGCAAATAACAGCAATGATGCAGAGCGCGACAAGGCTGACGCCACCGCCAATGACAGCCGCGTATGGAAACGCCGCCGCGTCGACGGCTGGGATCGTCGACACGTCGGGCAAGAGGCAGACGGGATAGAGACCCCAGAGCAGCGCAATGCCGTTGTGCCCCGCGCACGCTGCGCTCGTTGTGTTGACGTGCAGGAGGCAGTCGTCGGCTGGCCGCCCGAGGGACTCGAGCAGGGCGAACTGCGATGCATTGGCGTAAAACGCAACGACAGGGTTAGGCCCGAGACACCTACGCAGACCGCTTCAACCACAAACATTCACGGCGGGACGTAGTACAGGCGCCGGAGCGATTTCGGAAAGGCGGCTCGGATTTCTGAAATGGCATTGTGGCCAAGATCCCTAAGTCGTCGGTGAGAGAGCCACCATGGCCACGATACAGTACAGCTGCTCTAGCGTCTCGGGAAAGACCACGCTGATTAGTGACGTCAGCGCGTTCTTGGAGGCATTTCTACAGCAACTTGCATGAGGCAACATGACGATGGCCATGTCGTCGTACAGCGTGAGGAGGCGGGGTGGCCACGACACGGTGGACAGGGACTGCACTTTGTTGTTGGCCACGTCGCTACGCGAGACGCTCATAAGCCGTATTATCCGTTGACGGAGGTCGAGTACAGGTGCTGTAAAATGGGCGGGAAGGCGGCGCTTGCCAGTGTCTGTAGCGCATTGCTACTGAGGTTGCTACGTCGTTGGTCATGAGCCATCGATTCGAGTGGCGCCCAGTGGTGTCGGACAGGAGCTGAAGCGATGTCGGCAACATGTCGGCGGCGGTGAGCGCTTGGAGCGCGTTCGAGGACACGTCCCTACGCGCGACGAGGTTCCAGCCTCAAAACGATAGGTTGATTTCGCACGTACAGAGAGGCGAGGACGGGCGCTCGAACCGCGCCGAGGGACCCGAGTACATTTTGTCGCAAGCTTCTACGCAGCCTTTCGGGCAAAGATTCGCAGTCCAATCGTCATGTACAAGGTTGTGAGCTGCGTTGGAAACTGGACGCCGTCGATGGTCGCAATATGGTTCCGAGCCAGCAGCCTAGTGCGGTGGAGCGTTGAGTGTTTCGCATCGTCAGAACGTACAGCGAGCCCATGGCCACGTTGCGACCCATGTCGTCTCTGCGAAGATCTGGTTGAAGACGCACCAAGCCGACGTTGTCGAGATTTCTATGGCAACGGTGAAGGCTTCAAAGATACACGTATGCTACCACATACAGTGCTGTCGTTGCTGCGGGGAGGCGCTCAAGGTACTGGACGCCGACGTCTGCGCCGAGAAGTTCGAGGCCGTTGCGCGTATAGACGCCGCCACTGCTGACAGACCCGTTCGTGTACCAAATGCAGCTCGGTGCCGAGGCGTTGCCGAAGTGCGCGTGGTCGCACCACGCAGTAGTGTACGTGCTCTCGCTCACAAAGAGCGGCGGGCCCGTGAGGTTGCCATAGAAGCCGGTCGGCATGGCTTGTTGTCGAATCGAATTCGAGAATGACATCGATAGCGTTCAACACGTGGTTCTAGATTTACGCACAGTTGACAACCAAGAAGATCCCGATGGAGTGGTGGTAGTGTCGCTGTCGTCACACAGCTGGTACGACTGAAATCTCCGCCGCCGCAGTTGTCGCGTGCAGGCCTTTAGGCGCATCTCGACGGGGTTGTGTGAGTGCGCACATGGCCGCCGCGAGGCGCACTCTAGTCATTCTTGGCGTGCGTCACCACTGTGTGCGAACCTCTCCAACTGGCTACTGAGACGGAGCAGGTGGCAGTTCAGTCCATGACGTCGCCGACAACATTTCACGTATTACCGGTAGTACACCGCAAGAGCTACCGCAAGTCGTGTAGCTAGCTATTCATGTGTCGAGTCTTCTGGCGTGTCGCTTGCTTGGCTTGTACTGCACGAAACACAACAACGAGCCACTTGGACGGCGAAGAAAGCAGAGTGACCGGCCGACGCACGCACCGTCCGAGTCGCTAGCGTGCGTGCATTGCGTTTGTGCTTGAAGCCTTTCTTCCATCCATGTGCTCAGCGATCGTGTCGTCAGACCAAGGAAGTTGCGGCGACCCACATGTACCTGGCCTTTCTACCCTTCGATGGTTCACGCTGGAAGTCGACTCTGGACGGTGGAGCTCACCCACAACGTTGACTTGCCCGATGCATTCCGAGATGTACCCATGCCATCATCACGCCATCGTCAGCAAGGACGAATTCAATCCCTGGAATTGAATGGGGATTGCAAATTGGAGGCGTGAATGATGGTAGCCAGCGGAGTGTACGTCAAAGATCCGTCCGCACCAATCAATCAAACGTGTTCGCGTTGAAATCAAGTTTGCAGAAACTAACTCAAAGACGTCGCATACGTAGAGCTACGTCTGAATGCGTGGGAGTTGGCACCAGCACTTGGTCGTTGGGAGTGAGCTACGCACGGAGAGATCCATCTTTTGGTGGACCCCACTCGCCGAGGGATAGCTCGCGCGAGGTTGTACGCAGGCTCCTGTACTCGGACCACCCGACAGAGGAGTGAGTCCGCAGCAATACGTAGGGTATCCTACACTAGCCGTCACGTGGTGGTCTTACAGGGTGACGCGTCGGATGCGCCGCGTCTCGGTGTCAAGGTGCGACGGAACGGACGCTTCCGCGGAAGCTCCGCGAGGTTGTCGCGAGTAGCCATGGGGCCACCGTGATATCTCGTGCCATGACACGCACTCGGGCCGGCGGTATCACGCTTGCCCGCCCCCACAGCAACGAGATACGACGCCTGCATAGTATCCAAGCCGACACCGTTTCCAGGATAGCAACCATATCCAATCCACACCGAGTATCGTATCCGATCCACCGAATACCGTATCCGATCCACCTCGAGTGCAACATGTAATACGATGTCGACCGCACGTGTTTTGAGATATTTTACGCAGCGGGCTATTTGGTCGTGCCATGCTTGAGAACGGCGCGGCCGAGTTCGCCGACAAAGATGCTGCCTTGCGTGGGCCTACTCCAAGGAAACAAGGATATATGGATAGGGACACAGAGAAGGATACGAGGCATACCCGTGCTGGAGCTTTCGGATGCCGTTGATCACTTCGCGTGTCTTGGAGATGTAGACGCGGTCAAGGCTCGACCGCATCTCGATCTCCATGTCCTCGATGAGGTGGCCCATGTTGGTGAGGTGCGCGCTGGGGCTGTCAAAGGGCAGGACCTTCTCCGTTTGCCGCGTCAAGTTGCCGTCGAGGTTCAAGTGGCCGAGCTCGTTGCGGTTGACGTCCATTGTCACAAGGATCGTTGTCGTGAGCTTGTACACGGCTTCTCTCGCGCTCTTCTCTTGGACCTCAATGACGTGGATCGAGTTCCACCCGCCGTTCTGGACAAAGCTACGATAACGCCGTCGTTACGTGAATGCTATTGCGATCAAGGAGGCGGTACCGCTGCTGGTGCACGTCTTTCTTGATGAGAAAGCAAGCGGCAAAGCCCGGCTCCAAGTCCCACATGTAGACGGACGAGATGCCACCTGGCATTGGGCCATGAGCCTGTATGTAGCAGCGCATGAAAACAGTACCTTGGTAGTACATCTCGCGGTACACGTCGAAGATTTCATTGGCTTGGATCTCGAGCTGGCGCAAGCTGTCGGACGGCGTGAAGCCCTCGCCGTCGTCGATGGGCGGAAAGTACGCGTTCGTCCACGGCGACCTAGGCGCATTGAGCATGCATAGCATGGGCGAGGGTGTGGCTACCGGTGCGAGTCGCCATCGCGGTTGTAGTCGCAGAGCAGGAAGGCGCGGCCGGTCGTCGGGTCGACCATTTGCCCGAGCGGCTGGTCCACGCGCTGGAGCAGCTCGTCCTCGAGCTCGGGCACGAGCTGGCAGAGGCCGGCGAGGTCCGTGGCCACCTGCCCCGGAGGCATGCGGCGCAGCACGTTCAAGCAGCAGCTCAAGGCGTCGTCGCTCATGCTCGGGTTACAATCTTCTTCGTCTTTGGCCCCTCGTCGTCAACCAACATTCTGCACATCCGCCAAGCGAGAGGTTATACTGTATAATTTGATATTTATTTTATTGATTTAGAGCGTATATGTATTATAAAGGGTTTGAGATCAAACGAGCACGAGCACCTTCGGCGAGCATCCAAAGAGTTGATGGTGCATGGACGATCTCCACGAATGGGGGCGCGCGCACTCGCACCGTACACTTGTATAAGGAGCTATTACCATAGCAGATGCAGCAATGTTTTTTCAGCGAAGTGGAGGGTGGCTTTGGTGGCGTATTGATATATAGATTGATAGAGAGTGCACTTGACATGGACAACGATCGTCGTGGCAATAAGAACCAGGAGGAGTATAAAAAGCAGGAATAGATTTTACAAATGACTTCTCATAACACCAGCGTCCGCTCACACCGTCTTGGAATAGCAACGGTGGACGTTCATCAAGAGCCAGCAACTCAAAACTCAATTCGAGTTCCTGGCCGACATCCCGAGTCAACGGACGTGGTCACATACGATCATCAAAGTCATTTGTGATGTCAACTTTGAAAACAAAGTAAAACAGAAGGTACTAAAGAATTTGATCCTGTATAAGTACGGTCTTACTCATATTTTACTGTAAATCGTCAATTGCTATGTTTGCGAACGTACGCGTTCCTCATGTAGAAGCATGCATACTGCGAAACACAACAAATCCAATGGCTTCATTTCTGCATGGCGCGTAAAATTCCGCATAAAACCAGGTGCTTCCGCATAATATCGGATGGTTTTCAGAGAGGTAGCGTATATTTACGGTAAATTTGATCTTCGCTGCGTGATTTTTGGAAATTACACCATATGCAATTTATTGCCTCACACTATATCATACAGCAGGTATAGTGTGAGCACTGAATTCGAGAATGCGCTGCGAATCCAGGATCCTCTAGGACCAAGGTCCGAAATGTAGGTTCGTAAATAGGCCTTTGGACAAGAAAATGTCGGGTGGTGTTTGTTGCCCCACTGCTGCTGCCTCGGCCCGACTGCAATAGTCCAACATGGATATCCATCGAGAATACAAATAATACAATTAGAGAATGCGACACTTTGTCGCTTAGTTGGTCGACTCGCAAAAGGCCTTGGCGTTCTGGAACATTTGGAGCCACGGCGAGACCTTGGCGTGCTCAATCTCGGGCGTCTGGTAGGGCCACTGGAACTTGAGGAAGGCGCGCTCGGGGTGCGGCATCATGCAAAAGTGGCGGCCGTCGGCCGACGCGAGACCGGCAATGCCTTCGGGCGACCCGTTCGGGCAGAACGGGTACTCGCTCGTGATCTCGTTGTGGTCGTTGACATACCGGATCGGCGCGAGCTTCTTGTCGAGGACGTCCTCGAGGAGGCGCGGGTGCGGAAAGTGGGCGCGGCCTTCGCCGTGCGCGACCCAGACACCGAGGGACGAGCCGGCCATGCCCTTGAGCATGATCGCGTTCGACTCTTGGATCTGCACCGACACAAAGTTGCACACGTACTTTTCGCACGCGTTGTCGATGAAGCGCGGGTTAAGGTCGCCTTCGATCGTGTTCGCGGCTTCGAGCTCGGCCGTCACGGGCGGGTTGACCCAGCCGAGGAGCGACATGAACTGGCACCCGTTGCAGACGCCGAGCGAGAACGTGTCGTCGCGGGCGCGGAAGGCCTTGAACTGCGCGAGGACGTTCGGGTGGTACTTGACGACGCCGGCCCAGCCCTTGGCCGACCCGAGCACGTCCGCAAACGAAAAGCCACCGACGAACGCGACGCCACGGAAGCGGTCGTCGAGCGCGACCTTGCCCGACACCAAGTCCTTCATCGTCACGTCCCAGACCTCAAAGCCCGCGAGGTAGAACGCCGAGCTCATTTCGCGGTCGCCGTTCGAGCCTTCTTCGCGGAGGACGGCAATGCGGTGCTCGTGGCGCGTCGTGAGCGCCTTCGGAAGCGTCGGCGACGGCGTAAACGTGAGCTTCCAGCTCGGCGTCTTGCGGTGCTTCAGATTCGCCTGCTCTTGCGCGACCACGTCCGGGCGGCGCTGGCGCTTCTCGAGCGCGAACGACGTCGCCTCCCACGTATCGCGGAGGGCCACCATCGAGTCTGTGAGCACGACGTGGCCGTCAATCGAGACCGAGACGCTGCCGTCCGCGACGAGACTGCCGACCTTGACGAACGGCACGTGTGCTTTGGCGAACGCGGCCTTGACGTCCTTCTCGAAGGCCTTGGGCACCTGGACGACCATGCCGAGTTCTTCGGCAAAGAGGACGCCGAGGTGGTCGCGGACCGTGGCGCCAACGCCCGCGGGAATGTCGATTGCGACGCCGACGTTGCCAGCAAACGCCATTTCCAAAAGTGCAACGAGGAGACCGCCGTCCGAGCGATCGTGGCCGGCCGAGAGCCACTGGTTGTGGACGCAGCTTTGGAGCGTCGTGAACGCGGCCGCAAAGAGCGTAGCGTCTTCCATGTCGGGCACGACCTTGCCGATCTGCGCATACACCTGCGCGAGCGCCGAGCCGCCGAGCCGGTGCTTGCCGCCGCCAAGGTCGATGTAGAAGAGGTCGCCGCCGTCGCGCTTGAGGTCCGGCGTCACCGTCTTCTCGACGTCCGAAACCGCGCCGTACATGGTGACGACGAGCGTGCCCGGGGCCTTGACGTTCTCGGAGCCGACCTTGGCGGCCATCGAGAGCGAGTCCTTGCCGCCGTCGACCGCGACGCCAATGTCCTTCATGAAGGCCGTCATCGCCGAGCAGCACTCGTACATGCGCGCGGCCTCGCCGGGCAGCTTGGCCGCCCACATCCAGTTGGCCGAGCACTTGATGTCGAGGAGCGAGCCCGTGAGGCAGGCCCACACGAGGTTCGTGAGCGACTCGCCGACCGTGAGGCGCGCCATCGCACCGGGGTTGACGAGGCCCTTCACCGGCTGCTCCCCGACCGCGCTCGCACAGCCGGTGAACGTGCCCGTCTCGGGACTCCGAAAGTGCGATTGCGCAATGACCGAGACGTTGGCGAGCGGCAGCTGCAGCGGACCGACGCACGGCTGCTGCGCGACGAGACCAGTCACGCAGCGGTCCACCTTGTTGGTCAAGAACCGCTTCGAGCCGACCGAGAGAAGGCGCAGGACACGGTCGAGCGCCGACGCGACCGAGATGTCGGCCGGGAAGACGAGCTCCTGGCCCGGCAGCGGAAGCCGCGCGTCCGTGAACGTCTTTTGCGGCATCTTGCCGAGGACGAGGTCGAGCTCGAGGTCCACGGGCGTCGAGTCGTCGAGGGCGTCGTGGAGCACGACCTTGCCGTCGCCCGTGACTTGGCCGAGGAGCGCAAACGGGCAGTTTTCACGCGCGCAGATGCGGCTAAAGAGGTCGACGTCCGCGGGGCGAAGCAGAAGCGCGTTGTTCTCTTGGTACTCGGCGCCCCAGATCTCGAGAACGCTGAGCGTGTCATCGCCGACGAGGATGTTGCGGACCTCGTAGCGCGCGCCACCGCGGTGCTCGCCCGCCGGCTCGACGATCTCCTTGAGCACGTTGCCGTTGCCGCCCGCGCCCTGGTCGTGGATCGACACGATCGGGTTCTTGTCGCCGAGCTCAATGCACGCGCGAATGACGCGGTTCATCTTGTTTTCCATCTCGGCATCGCCGCGCTGGACCGCGTTAAAGTCGAGCTCGGCCGTCTTTGCGTCCTGGATGCGCGACGACGCCGCGCCACCGCCCATGCCGATGCGGTAGCACGGGCCGCCGACCTTGACGACCCACATGTTGACCTCGGCGTGGCCCTTCGTGCAGTGGGTCGCGTTGAGCTGGCCGACGCCGGCCGAAAACATGATGGGCTTGATGTACTCGCGGCGCTCGCCGTTGGGCAGCACCATGCCAAACGAACGCGCAAACCCCGTCACGACGGGCTCGCCAAACTTGTTGCCGTAATCCGAAGCGCCGTTGGAGGCTTGCACGATGATGTCCCGCGGGTGCGCGAGGTTGCTCGGGTACTGCAGCGCCTTGTCTTCCCACGGAAGGTCGTAGTCTTCGAGGCAAAGCTGGCCGACCGAGTAGGCGCTGACGCCAGCGACAACATGCGCACCACGACCCGTCGCCTGGACATCGCGAATGCGGCCACCGGTACCTGTCTCGGCACCCGGAAAGGGCGCGACGCCGGACGGAAAGTTGTGCGTCTCGGCCGTCAAGAGCACGTGGCTTTCGAGGTTGCGCTCGGCGAGCGCCGACGGGCCGCCGACGTTGGCGGGCGCGAGCGTCTTGATCTTGGCGCCCTTGATGACCGACGAGTTGTCGTGGAACGCGATGATCGAGTTCTTCATCGACGCAGGCGTCAGCGTCGACTTGACCATCTTGAAGAGCGTCTCGGGCATTTCCTGGCCGTCGAGGACGATCTTGCCGCCAAAGAACCAATGGCGCGAGTGCTCCGAGTTGGACTGACCCATGTCAAAGCACTCGACGTCGGTCGGGTCGCGCTTGAGCTTCTCCTTGAAGAGGTTTGTGTAATACTCGAGGTCCCACTCGTCAAAGCCGAGGCCGTTCTCTTCGTTCACGCGGCGAAGCGCTTCCTTGCCTTCGGTCATGATCGGGATGCGCTGGACGGGCTTGGGGGTCGTAAAGACGCCAAACTCGGTCAATGGCGTCTCGTACACCTGCTCTGTCATGCGGTCCATGTGCGCCGCCAAAAATTTGGTCTTGAAGTCGGCCGTGAGCTTTCCGGGCTTGGCGTGGAAGAGGAAGACGCGGCTGCGCTCGATGCGCTTGATCTTGGTGAGGCCGCACGCGTGGCAGATCGAGACGGCGTTACTGCTCCATGGCGTGCTAAAGTTCATGCGCGGGCCGACTTCGACGTGCCACGCGGCCGCAGCCGCCGACGGCGCCAAGAACGACGTCGACCGGTACTGCTTGGGCTCAAAGGTCTCGCTGAGGAGCCACGTCAGGCACTGCTCTTCTTCGGTCGTCAAGGCCGACGCCGAGGCCTCGAGCTCAATGTAGAAGCAGATCTCGGTCTCGACGCTCGTGAGGACGTCGGCCCACTGCGCCTGGAGCGTCGAGGTCGCATGCTCCGAGAGGAAGGGCGTCCGGAAGAAGCGCAGGAGCGACGACGTCTTGAGCTTCTTGGCCGCGGGGGCGAGCGCCGAGGCCGACAGCTTGCGGGGCGACGAGGACGACATCGGGCTCAGCGGTCAAAAGGGAAATGCAACCACGTCCGTGGACAAAAGATTTTCGAACCCGCTTGTGATTGGTCAAAATCACAGCGCCAATGGTTGCCGCTCGACTTGGATAAAGTATAGGTCACACGACGTGTAGCGTGGCATTTACGCCAATCGATGCGTCGCACCATTTCTTTTTGGCCAATGGCATCGGTTGTATACGTTACATATGATGTGGCAGCACGCGCGCTCAGCACGACATCGACGGCGCGACCGACGAGCGCTCGGCAGGTCGCAGGTCGTCGCCGGCACGAGGTCCATCGAGGCGGTGGCCGTATGTGGTGACGCGCGACGCGTCGTGCCAAGCCGTCTGCTGGGACCTCAGATCGAATCTGTTTACACAATCACAGCGCGCACATCGTGCCACGCCCCTTCAAGATACGCGGCCACCAATTGGACGACGTGCATACGTAATCGGCGCAAGGTGATGACTTGACAAGATGCTGCTGCATCATGCGATGCGGGCGCCGACGCTCGATGATTGCCAAACAGGTCGGGTGGCGCTGGGTGGCGTCACGCTGCACCCGCCACGCACGATATCACTCGAATGACCGGAGCAGCCTTTTCCAAGCCGCCGAGATTGCACTTTGGGCGCGCCACCGACGACCGCCGATGCACAAACGCCTTGGCTCGTCGCTGCATCTGTGCGCACGCTGTGGTAATACTTGGCTCGGAGCGAGGGTAGTGCCCGATGACTCGGCAACAGGAAACGACTAGTCGATCATTTGCGATGGCGAAAGCGTCATGCAGGACGCTACGAGCTGGGCATCGCCATGGCATCTCGTCCATGTTCCGCCGTGTCTCTGCGTGCAAACGACGTATAGTACACTGATCCATTCCTGCCAACGTTGTTGTCGAAGTGAGTCTATTTAGATATAATTTACACTGAACTGGATATGGTGGTGGACTAGCGATTCCAAGGTGCTACGACGAGCCGGCCGCCGAGAGGCTTAGCCGAGCGGGAGACGTGGCGTGTAAGCGGCACGTGCCGCAACTAGGTTGTCGCGTAGCCATGCGTCGTGCCGCAGGGCTGCCATCATTTGGAAGAGGCACAATGCTTGAGTGTCCAGCAGCGAGTGTATTTTCCTGCCACCGTACAACGTCAGCCGTCATCTCCAGGTTGTATCATCGCCCGTTTAGCATGATCAGGTTTTCCTGAGCAACGGCAACGGTTCAAGCAGGCTTGCAGCACGACATGGTCTAATAGTCGTCCAAGGTAGTTGCAGAGTTTGACGTTTTTAGTGGTTGCAATTGCTCTCACGGTAGCAACAGCAGCGCAGCAGAGCTCAGCAGTCGATAAGGAATTAGTCCTCTTGGGCTGCTCTCGGTCCATCGACGCCGGATCGTGATGTGCGTCGTTGGAAGCCATCTCAGATTCCGCCGACATCGGATTGGTGGAAACCCGTCGGATTTTCAACCGATTGGCCAATCATGGCGCAGGCCGTATCTTTAGCACTGGTCGTGGCTGGCGCCGAAGCAAGTTTCGCGATGTTTCGGCTCCGCAGCAGCGTCAACCTGCGCCACCTTGGCGGCGGCCTCGGCCTCATGGCCGCCTACTCGAGCAACTCGGCCTCGCTCCTCAAGAGCGCCAAGCCGGCCGTGACCTTCTACCAGTACGAGCCCTGCCCGTACTGCTGCAAGACCAAGGCCGTCATGGACTACCTTCAAGTGCCGTACAAGGTCGTCGAGGTCAACCCCGTCACGAAGAAGGAGCTCAAGGAGATCACCGACTATGGCAAGGTGCCCGTCGCGGTCATCGACGGCGTCGTACGTGGCGGCTACGACGTTGGCGCAGCATCACTCATGTGCAAATCTGTCTAGGTCGTGCCCAACTCGTCCGACATCATTGCGCACCTGCAGGCCCACGCTGGCTTGCCGCCCGTCGAGAAGGAGTGGTCCGAGTGGGTCGACATGAAGCTCGTACGTCGCGTCCTCGCCGCGTCTTCGTCACGTCCTGTAATGAGTAGATTACGCTCATGCCACCCAACATTTACCGCACCGTGCCCGAGGCGCTCGAAGCGTTCGAGTACTGCTTGACCGAAGGCAACTTCACCGCGTGGGAGCGCCGTCTCTCCAAGTAGGCTTGTCTCGTTCGAGGCGCACATGGTTTTCTCATCGCTGCGTCGTCGGGTGTAGGTACTCTGGCGCGGCCGCCATGTACCTCATCTCCAAGCGCCTCAAGAAGAAGTATGGCATTGAAGACGAACGCCAAGCGTTGTACGATGTGACGGCCGTGTGGGTAATGCGACGTACCCTGTGTTTCGATGGAGGCTAAGCGCTCTACCTATTGTAGCTCGAGGCGATCGGCGACAAGCCGTTCTTGGGCGGCGACGAGCCCAACCTCACGGACGTCTCTGTGTTTGGTGTCTTTCGCTCGATCGTCGGCCTCGAGACGTTCAAGGACCTCATGACGCACACGCAGCTCCAGCCCTGGTTTGAGCGCATGACGGCCAAGGTCGGTCCGCGCCAGTGCCTCCAAGACTAGAGTAGAATCATCGTCCCGTTGCAATGCACCATGCATCTCAAACCACTTACTGTACGACACGGCATGGAGTGCTGCGTCGTGGTCGTGATGGTGTCGAACCTCCTACAGCAACTCGAAGAGAGACATCATTGGATGTCCTCGTATCCTAACGCTCCTCGCACAAACGACACGACACCGGCCCTCGGACTCGAACAACGGCCTGGAACATGTGCTGCCTGGTGCTTTCCCGCATCGTACTATCAAAAACAAGGAGGCTGATGAGGATCGATGCCTGCACGATCCCCAAAACCGGTCCAGCAACCAAATTAGGTCCGGAATTTACACGATATTTTGAACGCACGACGTGTATTCCACCGGAGACAATCATACAACTACACTTGGCTGTACCCGGCGCGGTTGATGCAGTGCTTGGAGGTTGTAAAGCCGACGCCGGCACCGAGCACAATACCGCCAAGGCCAATCAACGCCATCGTCGTCGCGCTGTAGCCACCGCTCTCGGTCGCATCGGTGCTCGTCCCCGTGAGCACGACTACACTCCCATCCTGAGGCTTCATGCGATCGTACAGGACACGATGTGTACCTTGCGGGATAGGTCCTGCCGTGACGTTGAGAGGCGCAAAGGTCTGCGGCACCTTGCACACGTTGGGCGCCGTCGCAAATGCAGACATGTCAAGGAAGGCCTGGACAGGGCAGAGCTCTACGACCGCGCATGATGCTACCATGGACTAGCGAGAGGCCGCACCGGAGGCACAAGCCGGGATCGGCAGCGGCCGGCCTTGGTACAAGAGGCGGAAGAAATGGCTCTTCGTCGACGCTTGGTAGTAGAGCTCGAGGCCAACGTGGCTCGCGTACGGGACCCATTCGGTGAGGTACGCGTCACCGCCGAGCGCCGCCAGCAGCGGCATCAAGGTCGTATCATGGACTACCCATGGCGGTCAACATGCGAAAAGATACATGCAAGCAAAAGTGTCTACCTGCCGAGAGGACGAGGCGCGGGCCGTGGCCAGCAATCGCCGCCTGCAATCGCGTCCGAATGCGAGCGATGAACGTCGCCATGCCCGTGCGCGCGTACGCGCTGTTCTTGTAGAGGTACTGGAACAACTGCGCTTTCTCTTCGTGGCTCACCGACCGAAGAAAGAGGTCGTGATCCATCCCGTTGGGCAAGAGGCGGTCCGTGCACCTAATGACGATAATGGCATATGTCGCGACGATGGCAGACAGTCGACGCACCGCTGCGTCATGAGGCAGTCGAAGAGCAGCACGTGGTTGTAGCCTGAAATGTGCGTCTGGAGCTCCTTCTCCCACGCCACGTTGGTGGCATTGGTGGACCACGCCTTGTACTCGGCGGATGCGAGCCACTCGGCGTTGATGGCGTTGAGCGCCGGGCAGATGCTCGGGTTGGGTGTCACAAACGACGTACTCAGGTCGTTCGTGTGCCACGGGATCGGCGCCGAATTCGTCGCATCCGAAAACCAGTTTTGCGCAATGATCTACGTGCACAAGAATGTCTTCTGTAGACATATATGTATATGGTATGCGTACCATGCCCGAGTTGACGGTGCGCTGCATGTCGGTGCTTTCGAAATAGACATCTAGCACCAAGCACATCAACCTCGGTTGCAGACCACTGGGGAGCCTACCCGAGGTGTTGGTCAAGTCGACGGCCACACCAGCTTGAAAGAGCGAGAGCGGTCCGGTCCCGACATACGCCTTGCGAAAGTTGCTGCCAGCATCATGAGCACTCGATGTCATAGTATACTATCAGGATGGACGTACGCGCCGTTCCGCTGCTGCTGGAGATAGCCTTCGTCGATCATCTGCCCGAGAAGGCAGTTGCCGGGGTAGGCGTTGCCGCCAGCGCCATACGTCTTGTCGAAAACGAGCGTTGGCGAGGCGCCGCTGCTCTGCGAGTGCAAGACGGGCGTCACTTGATCGCGGATGTTGCAGGTCCACGCTTCGCTGTAGCCGTCCCAGCACTTGCCGTCGCTGAACGGCATGCGCGCGCCGTGGCGTACCATCATTTGCACCTGGACGAGCGTCATGGTCGACGCGAGCGGGTCGGCGACCGGCTGGATGGCCGCCATGGCCATGTCCTTGGCGCAGTAGCGCGGGTAGCCCGTGTGGTCGACGACGACGGCCGACGCAAGCGCGAGGCTCGCAACAAGGAGGCTACCAACCGAAAGCATGGGTCGACGTGTAAAGCAAGATGTCAAATACCACGAGGTGGTGTTGGGATCGCGCCTGCCAGCCCTTCCACAGCTTAGATTCTTTCGAACCGAGAACGAATCTTCGCCGGAGGATCTGTCCGGTTAGCTTTCCGGTTACCATTGAGTGGCATCGGTCGATCACCTTGAACTTGAACTTGACAGTGTGAAATAGTGTACTACAAGTCGGCACCCAAGCGCATATCGGTGCAAGCAATTTGTGTGGTGCAAGCTCCCGCACATGCAAGCTCGAATACGTAACGCATGCGTATACACATGGTAGTTGGCTACTGTAGTCAGGGGATGCATGTGGTAATAGCGCAAACGCTGACTCGTGGAGGAGGTCGCTTGGATTTGATTCGCACATCGTACGGAAATAGTGTGAGGAAAGATTTGTCAAATCGGCGCGAAGGGGCTGCGCTTCCAACGCGACAAGATTCACTCCACGGTGCTCCCGGAGCTGTTGTACTAGCTTGCGTGCGTCGCGTACGCAGCCATGAAGCTGGGTGCCCTGGCGTCAGCCGCGACCAGACTGGCACGTGCCGACTGTTGTACCCAACGCCATCGAGATTCGCCCACCATGTAGCAGCGTGGGGTCCTGGACGCCACACGCCTCTAGTTGCACGATGAGCTTTGATGCGGTACACGGAAAAAGACCTGCACGATGCCTTATATGAAGCTATGACAAGCTAGCTGCGTCGATCGCATAGAGTGTTCGACGATAAGCTTACACAAGTACTAGTGTGCTGCAACAAAGCAAGGAGGAACACGACAGCGGCCGAACGTACGACGACGACGACTCAACGCTCGAGTCGAAGCCTCTCTCTCGATAGAGTATAACACGCACCGTTGAAAGCTAAAGGCAGACAAAGAACCAACTGCAACCCTTTCGCTGATACCAAAGAGCGCAGTAGGATTAAGGACACTGCTCAAAGCGATCGCCGATTTGGCGACCCACCGAAGAATGCACAAGGCAAGTTGGTCGTCTCGCGACTGCAAGTAAGTAGAAAGACCCAACACCACGAAAAACCTGTTGATGACTGCCTACACCATGCTGTAGCCGGCGCGTGCACGGGCCGTGATCACGTGGCCGATCGCGACACCGGCTGCGAGACCGCCCGTGATACCAAGCACGAGTGTCACGGTGGAAAAGCTTGTCGGGGGACCTATAGACATTCATCGACATGGTCCATCGTACAATCGCAGGAATTACTCGTCTTGGGGGTAGGGGCCCGCGGCGCGACGGCGCAGATGCTCGTGTTGGTCGCAAACGACGTCATGGCAAAAAAGTCGCTCGATCGACAGAGCTCCGTCGCGCAGCCAGGCACGGGCAGCGGCTTGCCCTGGTACAAGAGTCGAAAGTAGTAGTCGGTCGTCGCGTTTTCATAGTAGACTTCCAGCGCCACGTGGCTTGCGTACGGTACCCACTCGGTGAGGTACGCGGGGCCGCCGAGCGCCGCCAAGAGCGGGTTGAGCGTCGCGTCGTGCACTACCCAGATACGATCGATGTCAAATGCAGAAGAGACCGAAGTACGCACCGATCGAGAGGTAGAAGCGGGGACCGACGCCGGCCATTGCAGCCTCGAACCGACTCCGCAGCTGGGCCACGAGCCGCGCACTGGCCGTGCGGGCGTAAATGTTGTCACGAAAGTAGTAGGGCAGGAGCGCAGACGTCTCGAGCTTGTTGACGATCGCATGGAAGAAGTCGAGCGTCATGTTGTTGGGTAGCGTCCGGTTTGTGCAGCGCTGCGTCATGAGGCAGTCGAAGAGGATGTCGTTGCGGTACCCCGGGGCATAGGTCGCGAGCTGTGCCTCGAGCGCCCCGTTGGAGGCGTTGGTGACCCAGTTGTGAAACTCGGAGGACGCTTGCCATTGGCCGCCGAGTACGTTCATGGCGGGGCACAAGTCGGCACTGGGCACGAGCGCCGAGACGCCAATGTCGCCCGTGTGGAAGGGCACCGCGTCCGACGAGCTGTTGGGAAACATGTGTTGGACGATGATCTAGGCATGACAATATGTCCATCCGCACAGGATGGAAAGAGTGTCGTATCGTACGTAGCCCGAGCCGACGGTGCGGTGGACGTCGGTGCTTTCAAAATACACATCTACGACGCTCGACTGCGATGACGAGAGTCAAACGGTAGAGAGAGATGTACCTTTGGAGGTGGCGAGATCGAGGGGCTCGTCGACCTGGAAGAGCGCACGGTGGCCACGACCGACGTACGCAGCCCGAAAGTTCCTATCGCGTGACGTCAGGCTTGGCTACACACTGGAAAAGCGAGAGCATACGCGCCGTTCTGCTGCTGCTGCGTGTAGCCTTCGTCGAGGAGCTGCCCGAGGAGGCACGTGCCCTTGAAGACGTTTTGGCCGTCCGTGTAGATCTTGTCGAAGGTCATGTTGCTCGGCACGTCGTCGGCCGTGTGCAGGACGGGCGCCATGCGATCGCGGAGCTGACAGTTCCACGCTTCGTTGTAGCCGTTCCAGCACTTTTGCCAGCTATACGGCGTGCGCGCGCCGTGGCGCACGAGCAGTTGGACGTGCTGGAGCGTGAGCGACGCCATGCGCGGGTCGGTCACGGGCTGCACCTTGGAGAAGGCCATGTCCTTGCCGCAGTAGCGCGGGTAGCCAGCAGCGTCGAGCTCGACGCCTGCCACGAGGGCAGCCATGAGGAGCGCGCTTGTCGTTAGGACCGAGACCATCCTCGTCGTCAATGGAAGTCGGGAAATGGCGAAGGCCGCTGTTGGATGCCATCCGCGCAGCTGGGTCGATGTGGACGACGTGGATACCGCCTGTTCTTCGTCAAATGGCGGAAATGCTTTTTACGACATATTTGTGTCGACGTATTTATGTGATTATCGAGATAAACGACGGAAAGGGGCGTTGAAAAAGAAATACGACGTGGCGACTGCGACTTGTTGAAGTTCTTTCGATTATCCGGATGACACGCGAGCATTGAAGTTGCCACACCGAGGGGCCATTCTACTCAGCGTTCTAGGATGGCTGTGGAGAGAAACCAGCTCATCAACTTGCATGTACTACCAGAACTGTGTACGGAAGATCATTTTGGGATGCTCGTTTTCATTCACCCCGACATGGCGAACATGTCGTCGTTGGACGACCTCGGCCGCTTGACCGAGGCGTTTCAAGCTGGAGCTCCAGGCAGCGATGCAGCAGACGACTCGCGCAGAGATAGGAAGCCGAGGAGGTATTTTACTAGGATACGTGCAGAGCTGAGAAGACGTCTGGAGTACCGCGCGACGATCGACAAGACGGCCATCGTCGCGACCTTGCGTGCTCTATGCGCACTTCCCAAGTGCGACCCGACAGTAAGGGACCGCGCCAACTTCTAGCTGCGGATCTGGTAAGAGGCCCTCTTACTAGGTCCGCAGCACGAAGCTGGCGCGGTCCTTGACCAACTGGTCGCAGTTGGGAAGCTCGTAGAGAGCACGCAAGGTGGTCACGTTGTCCGTCTTGTGCATCGTCGCGTGACGTCGCACGTCTGTGCAGGTGGCGACGGCGTTGGCGGCGCGAGGATCGTTGGACGCGGTCTCGGATAGCCGGCCGACGCTGCGAGACTAGCACCTGTCCGTCTGTCCGCGCAGTCTGATTGCACAAAATGAGCCCGCAGCTACGTACTAGTACATAAAACAGGTTAACGATGGCGTAGAGAGTGTATTCTTTTCAACAAATTTCTCAGTACTTTGTCTTGTCGCGACCAAAGAAGGACCGGGCGAGTCACTTCATTTTTGGTTTTGCCACCCAGCCGCGACTGCCTTTGACTTGCTGCTCCCGGTCTTGCTCTTGCGCGCGCTCCTGCTCGTCGTCGCGCGCATGCTGACGCTTTAGATCCCCAACCTTCGTGCCCTTGGGGAGATCGCGGCCAAATGGCCAGCACCGACCGAGTCGCACATCGCGGCCAAAGGGCCAGCGCCGACAACAACGGCTCGGCACTCGCGTCGTTTTCGGCCTTGGACGCCGACGTCGACATGAGCCACGGCAACGGTGTCACGACGGACAGCGCCGGGCTCTCGTCCTTTTGCGCCTTTTTGGATGACGACGACTGCATGGGCATCGACGACGATGACACCACAGCGTATGCGCTCCTGGAGACCTGCGTGAGCCTCGACGTCGACACGGGCTACGGCGATAGTGTCACCATGGACAGCATCGCGGCCACGTCGCCCGACGCAGCTTGGCCGAATCAGCCATGCTCTCGACCGGCCTCTTTCTCTTCGACTCGTCCGTCTAGGATTAGATCGATCTCATTTTTTAACTCTTAATCGAGAGTCTCCTTTACCCTGCACTTGTACATTGAACTATTACTATCTTGTTGAGGTTTGGATGGCCGCCAAACGATAAGGCCACGCTACTTCCTTCTGCTGTGAAGTCTTGAATCCGACGACTCGAGCACGTGTGTCGTTGGTTCGACAGTCGATTGTGGCGTATCTTGGTGCTTGACAGAGCCCAACGCTTCCATGGACAACTCAGAAAGAAGATTGCACGAAGCGTTGCATAGTCATTATGGTGGATGTATTGATGGGCGTAATATCAACGATCTGCAGACTCTTGCCTGCTTACACTGCGCTATAGACGTTCTGCGGTGCTTGCTGCCGCGACACAAAGTACCCAATGACAGCGCCAACGAGGCAGCCACCGGCGCCGACGATCGCCATCGATGTCACCGAGTAGCCCGAGGCTGCATTTGTCGTCGTTGAGGCAGCACTGCTTTCTTGGGTCGTCGCCTCCGTCAACGAACCATTTGTCAAGCCCGTGGGCCACGACGAAGTGCCGTTGGGGCCGCAGATGGAGTCGTCCGTCGCAAAGGCCGTCATGTTCAAGAACGCATCGATAGGGCAGAGCTCCGACGTGCAGTGGGGCACAGGCAGCGGCTTGCCGAGGTACGTGAGGCGGAAGAAGAAGCGGCCACCGTCGCGCGCATACAGCTCGAGCGTCACGTGGCTCGCGTATGGAACCCACTCGGTGAGGTACACGTCGCCACCGAGCGCGGCCAGCAGCGGCATGAGCGTCGAGTCGTGAACTACGAGAACAACACATGGAGCTCATTCTATCCTCAAGTAGACCCATCCACACGTACCAGCCGAGAGCACGAAACGTGGGCCACGGCCCGCCAGTGCCGCCTCGAGACGGGCACGAATGAGCGCCACGAACTGCGCACTGCCCGTCTTGGCGTAAATGCTGTTCTTGTAAAAGTACGGGAGGAGCGCGGTCGTCTCGGCGCGGGTGGCGGCCTGCTGAAAGAAGGTGCTGTTCATGTTGCCTGGCAGCGGCTTGTCAGTGCAGCGCTGCGTGAGGAGACAGTCAAAGCCGAGGTCGTCGTTGAAGCCTGGAATCGTCGCCTGCAGCTGCGCCCGAATCGCCTTGTTGGTGCGGTTGTTGCTCCACGCAGCGGACTCGGGCGACGCCGCCCACGCCTTGCTCAGCGCGGTGAGCGCCGGACACGTGGTCGGGTTCGGGAACCACCTCGAGACGGCCATGTCGCTTGTGTGCCACGGTACAACGACGCGCTCGCTTGTTGCAAACATGCTTTGCACGATGATCTAGACAGACCAAGTATGAGGCGCACGGTCCCAAACAAATGCGACAACGGACCTGGCCCGACCCGAGCGTGCGGTCGAGGTCGGTGCTTTCAAAGTAGACATCTACACAGCGACAATGCACATGGGCGATGCCAATGCCGGCGACATCTACCTGCCGTGTTGGTGAGGTCGATGGCTTCGTCGTCTTGGAAGAGCGCAAGCGGGCCCTTGCCCACGTACGCGTGGCGAAAGAACTCGCCGTTCTGCTGCTGCTGCGTGTAGCCTTCGTCGATGAGCTGCCCGAGGAGGCAGTTGCCGCGGAAGACGTTGGCGCCGTCGACGTAGATCTTGTCAAAGGTCAACGACGATGATGGCGTGCTGCCCGGTGCATGTAAGACAGGCGTCACTTGGTCGCGGAGGTTGCAGGTCCACGTCTCCTTGTAGCCGGTCCAGCACTTGGCGCCGCTGTACGGCGTGCGTGCTCCGTGGCGCACCATGACCTGCACGTGTACGAGCTTCATGCTCGACGCCTGCGGGTCGGCCACTGGCTGGATCGCAAACTTGGACATGTCCTTGGCGCAGTAGCGCGGGTAGCCTGATGCATCGATGGCAAAGCCAGCGGCGGCCGCGACGGTCAAGGCGGCGATGAGCGCACGGGGCACGAGGAGCATGGCGGCAAGGTGGGCAATCGCCAAATGTACCGTCGCTGTGGTGTTCCAAGCTTGCACTGTAGGATTCAGTCCTTCGGCGCCGATCCGGACCGAGATGATCGCAACGCGCACAAAATGATTTTACGATAGATTTGTGTCGACACAAATACATCGATACCATACGAAACCCGCGTCGGCGTCGCTTGCAATTGCGACCCATGTCAATATTATCCGGATGCCTCGCCACGCACGGCTGCGAGCAGAGCAGTGTGCATCGTGCACCGCGTACCGGTAGTACGTAGTATCGAGTGATGGATCTAGTTCGTCGTGTCGAGGGAGGCCTGGGTGACCATGAGGAGGGCTTGCATTGGTCTCGATGAGGAACACATTCAATGACATACATTTCGGTCCTATGGGTGAACTTCCGCACCCAAGATTTCGCAAGATGGCGCCCGTGGCACCTGTAGCATTTTGCATAAACACAGTAGACGATGTTGTACCAAGAATCGGGGTCGAAATGATGACGGGTCCATTATCAATCGAGTTGCCGTCTCATGGCCCCAAGCCCGGAAAGACAGCGTGCTCGTCGACGTTCTGCATCGTGCACTACGAGGCGTCGCTGCGCGCACACTAGAGACTCGCATCTCCACCGACAGACAGTGCTCGCTTTCTAATCCTTCGGTGACGGGATGTTGCAGTGATTGTTGGGACACACAAGCTGGACACATATAGTACGAACCGAGGTCGTATGCTCACGTTATTTGATGGTCGTTGGGCTGGGCGCGTGCAAGAGAGACATCCGGCAACCTTGCAGCGGCGAACGCTTCGAGGACCACCAGGGTGAAGTGGACTCGGCGCAGGACGCGGCTGCGGTATGGCAACAACCTCGGCGCTTAGCTGTATCTGCGGTAGATCGTCGGGAGTCTTTTCGTCGCCGATCGATGATGGACTCTGATGTTCCGACGTTTCGGCGCCACGTTGAAGTGCACGGGCAGTGCGCCACGCCATCCACGCATATGAGTGGTGGATATCCTAGGATTTCAATGGCTTTTTATCCAATCCAGCGCCTTCAACTACCTTTGCCTGCACTTCAAGTTGGGCAGGGATTGGCCATAATGCGAGTATTCGCGTTGCTGATTGGTCGAAATCCTCGTGTCAGATCGAAGCAAAGCCCAATTCGGCTCTGTCGCAGCTGTGCGGATGACCGAGCCCGACTGCAAGACGCTCTGGATGGGCGACGTCCAGATCAACTGGGACGAGGCCTATGTGAGCTCGCTCTTTGACGCCTTCGGTACGATGCCACGCGACTATCGTACTACGCTCATTGCGACCCAGGCCACCTCCCCACCGTCAAGCTCATCCGCGACAAGGTCACGGGCTATCCCGCCGGGTACGGCTTCCTCGAGTTTGACTCGCCGGACTCGGCAAGCGACGTCTTGTCAACTCTCAACGGCCAACCCATTCGTACGCAAGCCTCGACAACGACGGTGTCTTACTGCTTGTCTCGTAGCCAACACACCGCACCGTTTTCGGCTCAATTGGGGCGCCGGCGGGAAGCGGCTCGAGTCCATGGAAGACTACTCGGTCTTCGTGGGCGACCTCGCCGGCGACGTCACGGACGACGTGCTTTTTGCGACCTTCTCGGCCAAGTACGCGTCCGTGCGCGGCGCCAAGGTCGTGCTCGACCAAATGAGCCGCATTTCCAAAGGCTTTGGCTTTGTGCGCTTTGGCGTCAAGGCCGAGGCCGACCAGGTACACGCCTATATGCATCTTTTGCGGCCATCGTCTCTGACGGGATCGCTAGGCTCTGCAGCAGATGCACGGCGAGCCGTGCCTTAAGAGGCCGATGCGTGTGAGCGCCGCGACCGACCGCCCCAAGCACCACCCGCCGACAACGCCGTCCAAGCCGCCGCCATCACCGTCGCCCGAAGACGAGACCAACACGACCGTGTTTGTCGGTGGCCTCGACGCGAGCATAACCGAAGACGACCTGCGCAAGCAGTTTAGCTCCATTGGCCCTGTCCGTTTCTACGCTATACGAGACAGAGAGGCTCATGGCCACGTAGGTGCTCAGCATCAAGATCCCGCTGGGACGCGGCTGCGGCTTTGTACAGTATTCGACGCGCGCGCTGGCCGAGCAGGCGATCCAAGAAATGTCAGGTCCATAGTACCGTTTTGCGCGCGATTGAAGGTGGTGACGCTTCCTCGTAGGTGTGCAGCTTGGCGCGTCCAAGCTGCGCTGTGCATGGGGACGCCCCACGATCAATACAAACCACAGCAGCAGCAACAGCAACAGCAGCAATAGCAACAGCAGCAGCCGTGCACCGGTGTACCCGTACCCGCCGTCGGCGATGCCCATCTATGGCTATCCGCCGTACCAGGTACTAGAAGCCGTCCGCTCAAGATATAAGATATGTAGTACTATGCGGGGCCGTACCCTGCGTACGCTGGCTACACCAGTCCGGTGTATGCAGGCTACCCGCTGCCAGGCTACATGCACCCGTACGGTCAGATTCCGCTGCCGACCGACGACAACCAAGCGCCGCCGCCGATGATGTAGTCGATAGCTGGCACCACAGAGCGTCGTCGCGATCGAAGCGACCTCGCCGTCCATGTTCAACCTTATATACATAGCTTTGTGTCGTGTGGATGTGTTATGTGGTCATGACGAGGCGCTGCTTGGCGCTGCTGCGCTTGCGCGGCGACGCGCCGTCCGTGGCAGCCTCGCACGCCGCAATCGCCCGCTGAAGCTCCTTGAGCTGGTCCTTCTTGATCTCGAGCTGGCGCTCCAGCGTCCGCTTGTGCATCTGCAGCTCCGAGTGGTTGGACTTGAGGCGGTAGACCTCGCTGTACGCGGCTGACTCCATCGCTTTTGAGATTGCACATGCCGGATACGAATTCGGTATCCGGATGCGCGCGATCTTTCGTAGTCGAAACAACCCACCGAATTTAGACTTAGTAGGAGCACCAAGGGCATGCGGCGACTACCCCTTAAATGCTTAAATGGTGGGACTATAACACTCGTGTGCCTGTTCAATCGAAGAAAGAGAAGAGAAGAAGGAGGAAGTTCGATATGACGTGGCGATCTTTTTGGGCATGCTGCAATTGTACAGACAATCATCAATCCAGTGGATATCGCAAGATGAAAAGACACTCTAATGTAGCCGATATTATCTATCTTCGCGCTCCGTTCGCAGTGTCTTGGAGAGGAGTGAGAAGCCGGTTTTGGGCTTGGACGCTTTGCTTTTTTGTTGGGCCTTGGCCTTGGCCTTGGCTTTGGCCTCCACCGTCACGCGCGGTCGCACGACGGAGACCGAGGTGTTTTGACTCCACTCTTGGTCGTCGACGTTGTCGTGCAAGTACGCTTGCAGCATGTACTTGAGATGAAAGCCAATGAGGTTGCTCCACGCTTCGCCGACATCGGGCGTCGCCTCCGTGTCGAGCCAGTACATCATGACTTCGATCATCGTGCTCGTGTACGTGGAAAAGTGGTGCGGCCGGACCAGCGGAATCGTCCGATGGCGGTGGCCCAAGTTGCGGCAGCGCGTCTGGACCGTCTCGCGGCTCTGGTCCTTGTCGGCGAGCATGAACTTCATGGCCAAAATGAGAATTTCAATGCGCTTGCGGATGCCCGGAAACACTTCATTAAAGCTCGGGTCGCGCTGAAAGAGGCGGTGAAAGAACTCGTCGTAAAAGAGCACGATGCCGTCCTTCTTGAGCTCGCGCATCTTGGGGCTCGCGCCCTTGCAAATGATCTTCCAGCTCCGGTTGCACTCGGCGAGGTACATGGAGAGAAACTGCGGACACAATGGCATGTTGGGCGGCATGTAATGCTGGTACTCGTCGGCGCTTGCGATCGGTCGCTCGATGGGTGCGCTCCAGTCCTTGGCGCCATCGATAGTCCTCGGCGTCGTCGCACCGAGTGTGCCGTTGGCCGATCGACTTTTGCTGCCCATCGACTTGATGCGCGCGCTAAAGCCCGACGTGGCCGAGACAGTGCCGGCAGGCCCCGTCGCATGTACCGAGCTGCGTGACCCCATGATAACTGCAAGTGGCTCCTCGCCTTACGGGCGTTTCACGACACACGAATCGCTTCTCTGCGCCATCGAAAATTGATTTGATCGCACATACATTTGCATGCGCCAAGACTACAGTCGTGCAATTGACGACTCGATTGCGCCATTAAGAGTGACGTGGCGGGTTAGACAAGGCTGAATGCCCCATAACGATCGAGCCCACTGTCGACTCATCGCGTCTATCTGGACGGCAGAAAATCAGCGTCCTGGTGCGCACGTTCTTTGCCACTGAGCACGCGACGACGCTACAGTGGTGGAAGTATGTCCATAACGTTGGCTTGCATCCAGGCCAGAGTCGATATGCCTACTCCAAGCTTTGGGCGTAAGCAAGCGCGTCGCATGGAAAGCCGCTCGTTGCATTGTAGCACGACCACGCAACCACCTCGACCCACGACCCACCCACTGCTAGAGTTTGCGAGGTCCTACATAGATTCCACCCAACCCTGGGTCCCCTTATGTGTCTCGTGTAAAAAGCAGCTCGAACAAAACACGCCGTCGTTCTTGGTTTGCTTGCGCATTGTGGGGTCTCGCGTCGAGAACACAATCGTCATGCGCACAACATTTCATCGACGACATATATCTGGCTGCAAAGAGTGGCGTAGTACACTAAGACTATGGGCGAAATTGACACCGATACGGTCAATGCACCGCGTTTGTTTCAAAGGCAAGCACTCTACGTGACACAATACCGTCAACACTTGCACGTGGTACGCGGCTGCCCGCGAGGCGCACACTAGATCTATCCACAATTGCACTCGAGCGACTGGGTGTGGATTAAAAAGCAAGACATGAACGAGGCTTCAACGGTCTCAGCGGTGGGAGGGGTGGGATTTCGAGCCAGGCTTGTTGGTCTTGACCGACGTTTTCCGGTCCGCGGGTGCCTTCTCAATCGGGGTCGTCGTGTTTTGGCTCCACTCGTCGTAGTTAACGTTGCCGTGCAAGTACGCTTGCAGTAGGTACTTGAGATGGAAGCCGACGAGGTTTCCCCACGCCTCGCCAACGTCGGGCGTCGCTTCGTTGTCGAGCCAGTACATGATGACCTCGAGCATCGTGCTTGTGTACGTGGAAAAGTGGTGCGGCCGAATGAGCGGGATCGTGCGATGGCGGAATCCAAGGTTGCGACAGCGGGTCATGACGACGTCGTTGGGGTGCTTTTTGTCTCCAAGCATAAATTTCATGGCTTTGATGAGCACTTCAATGCGCTTGCGAATGCCGGGAAAGATCTCGCCAAAGCTCGGGTCGCGCTGAAAGAGGCGGTGAAAGAACTCGTCGTAGAAGAGCACGATGCCGTCTTTCTTGAGCTGACGCATCTTGGCGGTGCCACCTTTGCAAAGAATTTTCCAGCTGCGACTGCATTCGGCGTGATATGTTGTCTCGTACGTCGGGCAGAGCGGCATGTTAGGCGGCATATAGTGCTGATACTCGTCCGGTGTCGCGAGCTCACCCTTGAAGACAACGTTCCAATCGGGTTCTTGTCCATCGGCAGCTGGCGTTAATTTCTCATTTTCCGACCTGTAGAAGCGCGAGAGGTTGAGCGACTTGCCCGAAACGCGCCCCGAGAGACCGCTGCGCTGCGAGATTTTGATGCCAGACGAGAGGCTCAACGCCGTCGAGGGCGCGGTCGAGTTGCGCCCACCCATGCTACCGCGTGTTTGTGCGACCTTTCGACAGCCAATCCCATCGCGTGTCGCCCGATCTTGTCCGGTTGGCGATTATGAAACGGACGGTTTCGACGCGCGTGCATCAGTGGTGGACACGAGGTGCATGAGCTAGCGACAAGGCGTGGAGAGACGTGGTATGGATTACAAAGAGGCTTTACGACTTAGTGGTTTTTGCTGTTGGACAACGGAATACACTGCGAGTACCACTCGTCCTGCTTGAAGCACGAGGTGCCGTCGGCGCATTGCGAACTGCCCTTGTAGTCTTTGCCACCGCACTGTTCCCAGCGCTTCTTGACAACACCCGACGGTTTGGACGTCGGCGTCGGCTTGTTCGTGGGCTTGGTCGTGGGCTTGGACGTGGGACTGGTCGTGGGCTTGGTCGTGGGTCTGGCGGTGGGCTTGGTCGTGGGGCTGCTGGTGGGCTTGGTCGTGGGGCTGCTGGTCGGCTTCGTTGTCGGCGCAGGGGGCGTCGGTCCCGAAGTGGGCGTGGGTTGGGCGGTCGGAGCGGACGTCGGCTTGTCGCTG